GATCCCAAACTTTTTGATATTGAAGGTTTCTCATCTTCAGTTTTGACCTCCATAGTTCAGGTGTATGCATCATGGTTGAGACAGAGGCGAACAGATTTGATGCATCAATGTGAACTTGATTAGGCAACCATGAGAGTTTTGACTTGGACTCACATATTTAGTATTAGGGGGAGTCAGGGTGAATTAGTGCTTGAAAGTCCAGTCCAGTCCGGTTTTTTGGCCCAAAATGAAAAGACCGAGACCCAGACCGGTCCACACAATTCCTAAAACCTCAAAAGACCAGACCAGGACCGGTCTTTTGCAAGACTGCGGTCTTTTTCGGTCTTTGGACCAGTCTTGGTCCAAACTGGTTACAACCGGTTCAAGACCAGTTTTTCAACTACATATGCAATTATATTTGCAATTGTGAGTTGGTAGATTTATTGAGATTCTTTGTAGCTTCAAAACGAGTGCAAGAACGTTAAATTCCGTTGAGAATTGATGTATCTACAAAAATATCAAGGTACATCTACTATTTTCATGAAATATTTTACTATTGTATATGTATCTTTGTCAGTTTTTGGCCTAAAAATATGATCTTAGGTGCGTTTTGAAGGGTTATTATGTAGGTACAAAAGACCGGTCTTAACCGACCAGACCGGTCCACGTTAACCGGTCTTTTTGCGGTCTTTTAATCTCAAATCTGCAAGACCAAGACTGCAGGTCCAGTCTTTTGCAGTCTTGGTCCAGTCCAGTTGCAGTCTTTTTGCAGTCTTGAGACTGGACTTCCAAGCACCAGGGTGAATGATTCAGCAAACAGTTCACAAATGGTTCAAAAATGTTTGTTTCTCATCTAAACCATCGGAACTTGCTGAATCATTGCAGAATGTGAACTGTCATTGAACAACAATGGCAACAGGCAATAACAACAACAATTGACGATGACAACAGGCAACAATAATAATGGATCACAATGATGACAATGGACCACAATGATGACAATGGACAACAACAACAGTTGACAATGGCATACCAACCCCCACCAACATCAACAATGGCCCACCAACACCACTCCATACCACACCCCACCAAGGTCAAACACAACCCATGACATCTCACTCTGCATCACCTTCAAATGTGAGAAACAGCTATTGAACTTTCTGCTAATAAAACTGACTCATTTGTGTTTGTTACTTGCTCCAACAAATCCCTGTTCCTGCTCTGCCTAATAGCACACACCCCTGTACAAGGCAACAGTGTTACATTTATAGTTGATTGATGAAGCAGGAAAGGGTCAGGGTTAATCAATGGAATCAGTAATTTACACTCCCTGATATGTCCATATTGAATGGTATGGAGTGAGGATGGAACAGGTAAATTCTATGGATTCCTATCATGGAATGGGTAGATTCCATAAATTCCTACCATGGAATGAGGATGGAATTCATATGGACCATTCCAACTATATCTCTGGATTCCATACCATTCCATGACTGTCCCATGGACTATTCCAAGGGATTCCATGCTTTACTTTATGATGCCCTACATATTCCTGCAGGAATGGGCCCATTCCACTGGATTCCACAGGAATGGACCAGAATCCTCTGGAATGGGGCTGCATTCCACCAGATTCTGTGTGTATATAATTTGACTTTTGTAGTGTATCAGTGTTATTATCCCTTTTAGGGTATGTACCTTCCTTTTTGGGTCAAATTTCACATGATACAATTGTTGTAGCCCTTTCTCTTAGCTTTGTAAATGTGTTGAAATCATATTATTTGGTGTTGTTTTCATGGAGAAAAATACAAAAAACAAAAAAAAACACGACACTTTTGAAAATCTTAACAACCTAGGTTACCACTACCCCATTCATGCTTGCACCAGATTTACACTCATAGTCATATTGATCCTTTTATATAACCTTTATTGATACTTCAAGACTAGTATTTGTAACCACCTTGTGATTTTGCATGTTAAGTTTGATATCCAACAAATGAGGTGTTTGAGCCTGGTATATCACTGCTCAATCATACAATCACAACATATGACAAGACCAACAGTGTAATGTCCTTATTTCCAAATTCTGCCAGCAACCTTGCCTATGAAGACCATGTCATCTAGCATTCATCCTGCTGATCAAGCTTTGTGGCCTACAATTCCTCATCATGAGCCTCACCCTGCAATCATGTGTTGGTGTTGTGAATGTCCAATGTAGCCCATAATTTGACATGAAGACATTCTTTTGCAAAGTCCAACCACTACTGAGCAGTTGGCTGGGAGCACAAAAAGTGTTTACCCTCAATGAGAAATATTGCAAGAAAGGAAAAGTGATTTGGGGGGGGTTTTCTATCTGGGGAATTAGAAGTCACACACCTAAGAATGAAATGAACAACACCACCTCCAATGATCAGGGTTGAAAAAAAGGCCACCCACCTCTGGAACCTCTGGTGCCATTGAGTGAGTGTCCAAAAATTGCAGTACATGAAGTTGTCAAAACCATGTTTGTCAAAGTTCACCTTTGATATATTCGGAGTGATCTCTTGCGTGCTGCCACCAAACCTCATCACCATGAACTTATGTGAAACCATGACATCCTTGATTTCATCCTCAAGGTTGACATCTAAAAAATGAATTCTGGCAGCAAGGAGATGTCTACTGGTCACTCCCATCACAAGATCTTCTTGTTTCTTCATTTTGGGCTAGCAGCAAATATCAGCTTGACCAAAACAAATATACAAGCAAAAAAATGACAAACATGCACCAAGACTCAACCTTTTTGTTCATCTCCTCAACTTCATATATAGAGTTTGCTCAGATTGGGTCTGCCTCCAAGGCCCACCATTGACAAACTTCAGCTGCAGACAGCAACAAGACACTGTCAAATTCCAAACACAGGAAATATCATCCCACAATTCTTCCTTGACAGCAACAGCTGAATGTGGTTTGAGATGTTCACCTTGAAAGGCATGGTCAACATTTTCCAAAACTTGAAGATGAGTCTCAGCCTCATATGGGTCCTCAACAGGACCAATCTGAAAGAGTTGTTATTGTTTAGACATAACCTCAGAGCTAAATGATAACTTACCAGAAAGTTTTTCATCATCGAATGCAGGAGCTGACCCCTGTGGACCAGGTATCAAATCGGTTTCCTGCTTTTACCATGAATCAACTATGCATGTGGCAGTTCTATATGTGTCCACTGGTACACCAGTGGACAAAGCTGACTTATCGTCACCCTACATCCAAGTCAGTTTGTCAACTGCTCTAACAATAAGATGCTGAGAGGGTAAGGAAGCACCTTGATAATGTATTTCTGGTCTTCTGGCTCCCCTTTTAAAGCATAGTGGGCCTTCACATCCTGATGGAATTCAGCCTTGATGGTATCTGAATGGTGGCCTTTCTGGTCCTCAAGTTCCTCCTTAGGCTGCAGTAGGTTATTTCAAAGCACAAAGCATAGAGCCATATCAACAACAAACTTTTTAACCCTGATCATTTGTTTGTTGAAGCATGACAATCCACACGAGAAAAGAGAAATACTACCAAGTAGAAGAATGAGCAAAGAGTGAGTCGAACATGCATGTGTCACAGTCCCAGCCTCACAAACGATATACGACACCCTAAAGATGCTGAGAGCTATGGCGGATCAGTTACAAAAATGCATCTTCAAGACCTGGTCACCTTTGTTTACAAGTATAGACCATTGGGTGGGTTCACTCTTTGCTCATTCTTCTACTTGGTAGTATTTCTTGGTGAGCTCAGCAAGAATTCCAGGGGGACAATAAAGACCTCCGTTCAATGGTCCTTGTTTGCAGACTGGTGTGTGGGCACATAGGTGGCCACTTTGCAAGGCCTTGTCATCGGCACAGGTACAAGGTGGCATGGATGAATGGTCATTCTTGTGGGTGGTGGTCGTGGTGTTGTGGTGGCAGTGGTGGTTGGAAGGAAAGAAAGTGACATGGTAATGCCAGATCTGGAACATTACAGGTCGTAGGGCACGAGGGTGGGTTGTATAGTGTTTATGTTTAGTGTATATTAAAGCCCTTATAGCTTAGTTGGTTAGAGCATTGTACCTGTTCCTATGGTCTTGAGTTCAATTCCTGTTATGGCAAAATTTATTCTGACTTTGTCAAACTTGTGAATTTTAGGAGAGATTTCTAGTGAGTCAATTTACAAGATTGTTTTCTTGGAATGTTAACTGTTCATCTCCACATAGATGTGGTAAATATGCTTACAAAAACATCCTGTTGAAACCACTCATTCCTGTGCTTCGAGTGGGAACTACCCTGTTATACATGTCCATCACATCTATCACAGCCCAATCATTTGATCTCATGTGTAACCCTTCATGNGATACATCAGGAAAAGAGGCTGTCACAGAACTCAGGGCATCAGGTTACCCCCAAGTACAGGTTCCTTTTTTTAA